TCAATCCACTGAGCCACACCAGCCAGGGCAAGGTTGTATGAGTTTTTATATATTTTGGTATTAAGCCCTTATCAGCTATATCATTAGCAACTATCTTCTCCCATTCAATAGGTTGCTTTTTCATTTTGTGGATGGTTTCCTTTACTGTCAAAAACTCTTTAGTTTGATTTAATCCCATTTGTTTATTTTTTTCTTTTGTTTTCCTTGCCCAAGGAGACATATCCAAAAAATATTACTAAGAGCATTGTCAACTAATTTATTATCTATCTTTTCTTCTAGGAGTTTCATGGTTTCATGTCTTACATTTAAGGCTTTAACCCATTTTGAATTTATTCATGTATATGCTGTAAGGAAGTGATCTGGTTTCATATTTTTGCATGTCTCTGTTCAGTTTTCCCAATGCTGTCTATTGAAGAGACTATGTTTACCCCATTGAATAGTCTTGCCTCCTTTGTCATTGATTAAATTGACCATATAGGCATAGATTTGTTTCTGAGCAGCCTATTCTGTTCCATTGTTCTGTGTGTTTGTGTTTATGCCAGTACCATGCTGTTTTGATTATTACAGCCTTACAGTATACTTTGATATCGGCTAATGTGTATGCCTCCAACTTTTTCCTCTTTCTCAAGTGTTTTGGATATTCAGGGTCTTTGATGGAATGCTCTTTAACTTGGGAGTGAATGAAGCTAGAAGCACATCAGGTTGAGTGAGATGAGGAATGGAAAAAGGGAAGGATCTGTGTGTGTGTGTTTAAGGTGGGAGACACTGTGTATAATCCTGTAGAGAGGGTTGTCTAGGTCAGTGGAGGAGAGGAGAAGAAAGCCCATGAAATCTCAGCCCGAGGAGAGGAAAGAACCCAGGTCCTGGTGACGTACTTAACATTGACTAGGAGGAGGGTACCCTTACCACTGGGCAGGGGGCGGGGAAGAGGAGGTGGGAACAATTGGCACAGACTGACATATTTGTTAGGGATTCAGGTTTTCAGAGAACAAGAAATTTGTGAGTTCCCAGTTTTTAATAGCCTCTTGTCTCTTAAATAGGAGACAATTTATTTGATTAAGGATGAAAATTAATGGTTAAGAAACACCCAAGTTGTATTACCCAGTTGTGGACACTTAGTTTGTCAAGCTGCTAAATATAAAGTAAAACAAATTGTCTTTGAGCAAATGTCAGTGGGAAAAAGCTGTAACCATGCCTCTGGAGAGAATCGCAAAGGAAATTGGAAGGCTTTCTATTTTGTTCCATGCTTGGACACCATGAAGTTGTATAACCTGCTCATACTTCTCTCCATTCACTTTCTGTACAAATCAGAAATCCTCTTTGTATGTAGTATTCATATGATCATAATTTTCAAAATGATTTCCTCTTGGTTTCTTATGGTCAAAGAACTATTACTAAAGAGAGAGAATGTATCTCAATTCTCTTCAGCCAAAGACCACCAGGAACATACCTGTAGTTGGATTTATTATTCACTGCAGCAAGGATGTGTGGACATAATATGATACCATGGGGTGTCTCAGGAAGAGAGCATTAGACCTGTCATCGAATTGGGGTTTCAGTTGAATGATATCAGGGAGCGCCTAAGGAAGCAAGGGCTCATTTGTATTGAGTGCTGTCAGAAGGGAGGGCATTTCTATAATTGGGTGTTTCATTAAATCTTATAGGGAGGGCCAACTAGATTGAGGAAAAAGCCATAATTGGTAAAGAGGTGGCAACCACTCATTGAGTGAGAGAGGAGAATATTTGGTATTGTGTAGGTTTCACAATGACCTTGTTTTTATCATAGTCTCAAAGCGACTTTGTTTGCCATACATACTCTCTGTGAGATTATATCCCACAGGAGAACACAGGGCTGACTGTGAGTGTCAGACCAACTTGTTATAACACTGAGTCTAACTATGAATGAAAGATCTGTCTGGACTTCAGGGACTGCTTGATTTTTCATATATATATTTTTTGTAACATACATATATATGTATATATAGGTAGATAGATATCTATATATATCTCCATCTCCTACTTAACTCTAATTTTTAATGAGATCTTATCCTTTGCTTTGGCAAGTACAGTGTTAAAAGTTAAATAAATCCTCTCATAATGTATTTTATCAGTATATCAAGACTTTTTACTTTAGAATATAGTGTTTCAGCCATATCAGTAGCATAAAATGTCCTTCCCTTTGGAAAACTTGTGACATTTCTGAGGAATGAGCAGAAAACAGAAACGTCTTACATTGGTCCAGGTGGGAGGTGGTTGGTGACGGGGCCCTGCTGGGGGGGGGCACTTTGAGAAGGACTTCAAGGGTAGAGAGGACGGAACTTGGTGTCAGGATGTAGTATGTGGGGAACCAGGAGAACGGCAGGTGGTGTCTGAGCTTCTGGCTGAAGAGTGTGAGTCGGAGGAGAAGTTGTTCTGCAGGGTGGGAGGAGGAAGCAGTGCCAAGTGGGCAGGGGAGCAACAAATCTCAAACAAGAGCCGGTACAGTAGCACAATGCTGGCTGCTTATAGGTACCTAGTAACTAACAGAGAATAGTAATTTACTGTTTGGTTAACTGCCCAAGGAACCAAAATCTTAAATCCTTCTGTCAGCATATAGGCGAATCTCCCCCTGTAGGCAAATCTATGTAAGTAACAAGATTACAATCAGATTGCTTGATCTGGGTGGGGACAGAACAGGAGAAGCCAGCCAGGAACTGTGGTGGTGGCTGTTGTTATCAAGGCAGGACTTCTGTGCTGCCGGGTTTATGTGCCCAGGATAAAGAAACACACCTCAAAACCATGTCCTAAGCATCCGTGTTAAAATGCTGTGTGCCAAGGATGCCAAAGTGAGTTTCAGATCATGTCGGCACCTACCACACGAGCTGGCGCATAGTAGGTATTCAGTGCATATTGTGAAGGGGAGTCTAGGCTTGACAGAAGAGTACTGTATGAATTATGGTTTGTGTCTCCTGTGGATGTGGAGAAGGGGTGAGGCTGTCTAGCAGGACTTGGCCAGCCCTGGTTCAGAACTTTACATACAGGAATTTTAAATAGAAACATTATGAAGGGAGGAAGGGAGAGAAAGAGGGAATTAAAATGTATCTGTAACCACATAAATTAAAAGACAGGCTTCCTTTGCCTATTTTCATTCTGATATTTTGAACCTGTATAAAGAGGCAAAATAGACAAATCTAAAAGGCAGCTCTCCTGGTTGATATATTGATTGCGCAGGGACTAGGCTGATCAAGGAAATCTGACAAATTTCTCTTGTTTTCTCTCTTTTTGCCATTGTCTTTCCTCTTTATATTGGGAAAGCCTGTTTTTTCAACTGACTTCTCTCTGCTCTTAAAAAAAAAAAAATCACCTTGTCTCCCTAAGGGTTTCTCTTTTTTATTTCATTTTAATATTTTGGATCAGAACGAACTAAATTTTTATCATAGGTAAAATTAGTAAGAGCTTTTCAGTGTTGCTTTCTCTATAAAGTTAAAGGAAACTGTGTTGCTTATTTTTGCTCATTAATACATACATGTGATATATCGTTCTACTTTATTAAATTTATACCTATTTTGAAATTACATGATATTTTCCCAGATGATTACACTATGAAAAATGATTTAGATAAATCTACAGAGAGGAAAATCTCTGAATGATGATGGTTGGGCTAGATTTCAGATCACTGGCATGGACGCAGCATTAGAGCTTGCGGCTGGTCCGCCAGCTGTTTGGACAGGGGCCCGTGACATCTTTACATAGGACACATGGCTCCACTGTTTGGACCCTTTCATGTGCCAGGTCTGTTACTGAATTGTTCATATGTCTTTGAAAGTCTTTAAGTTCTCCAGTAATCAAGATTTCAAGAACATCCTGATAATAGTTAAATATAATATTTATATTAATAGGTTTTCCTTAGGACCTCTCTTTCACTCTTTTGCTTATTTTTGTTTTAAGTAGTCACAGCATTTAAGGGCTGTACCATGTAATTATTATATTAAGAAAGAGACTATTATATAGAATGAATGAAAAAAAAATAATGGATTCTTTTTGAGTTAAAAGATATCTTAGAGAAAATCTTAGAGTGTAACTCTCTTATCTTATATGCCAAAAAGTTGAGGCTAAAAGAAATGCTGACTTGAGTCCCTCTCCCCCCAAAATTACGATTTTTATACATATAATTATGCTTGTTCAGTGAAAAAATATTTTTCAGTATAATTTTGGAGCATTAAATTAATGAACATTGACTCAGTAAACCAGTTGACAGATAGTATAGATTTTGTTTTTCTTAATAAAAATTGAGCAGAGGGCTATGGTTGTAATGAGCACATCATTTTAACTACTTAATATCCTTTCCCTAAATAGATATAGAAAAGGTTATCTATTTAAATTAAGTATTTTAAACCCACATTCTTTAATTAAGAAAAAAATGCCTGAGTATGTTTCTTTGAGCTGTCAAAACTCTTCTTCCTCTTTGTGGTGCTTCATCGATTGAGTAAATGATTCTATAATGGAATATAATTTAGTCAGCTGTGTGAAGATGTAGTGATTATTCTTTTTGGATTAGGTCTGGAATTTATAATTGGAAGGAGGAGGAAAACAGTTTTATTTCTGTATATGAATATATTATTTTGTGATATAATTATTGCTTCCAGATGAAATTTAAACAATTAAATTAGTTAATAGACTTTGGAACTAGGAAGTACTTTAAAGTTCATCTGGTTCAACAACTCCATTTTGTAGATAATGATATTGAGGCACAAAGTATAGAGAAATTATGCAGGATGACACTTTCGATCAGAACAAAAACCAGGTTTCTCTTGTTTCTTTCTCCAGTGCTTTTCATTCTGTGATCCTGTTATTCCTAAAACCAGTCTAGACGCTGTAGGAAAAAAAAGAAAGAAAAAAAAAGGAGGGTGGGGAGGATGCCAGAGGAGAAGGACGCAAACCCCTTTCACAGTGAGCCTCTTCAGTTTAGGAGTCCACTTCATGGGAGATCCCGCTAATAAAACTGCTGTTTGCTTTTCTAGGTGAGAGTTACGTGTGTGCGTCAAACGAACCATTTCGTAAAGTTGATTACACCAAAAACGTTAATCCGAACTGGTCTGTGAACATCAAGGGTGGGACAACCCGCACCTTGGCGGCTCCCTCCTCAGTGAAAAGTGAAGTGAAGGAAAGTAAAGATTTCATCAAACCCAAGTTAGTGACTGTGATTCGAAGTGGTGTGAAGCCTAGAAAAGCCGTGCGGATCCTTCTGAATAAGAAGACTGCCCATTCCTTTGAACAAGTCTTAACAGATATCACCGAAGCCATTAAACTAGACTCAGGAGTGGTCAAGAGGCTCTGCACACTGGATGGAAAGCAGGTGAGATGTTTCTAGCCCTCAGCTCTCCATCTTACTTTTAAATTCTCCTTGGTAGTTACATGTTCGACAATAGGAACTTTGCAGTCTGCGAGACGTTGTTTTAGTGGTCCTGCTTGGGGTGGCAGTGGGGGGGGGGTCGGGGGTGTGTGTGTATTTGCCTTTATCATGAAAAATATAAGCAGCTCACCTGTCTCTCTACCCAAATATCTCACACATATATATAGCGAAAGCTAGCCATACTTCTTGTGGTCACTGGAAAGGAAATGTAAACTTTTGAGGGAAAAGTGTTAGTTGAAGAGGCTTCTTACTTTAAGGGGGATGTTCTTTAAGAATAAGATCATCCGTTGACTAGTAGAGTTATTAGAGGTGTGGGTAAGCCATGGGAGTCAAAAATAAAGATATTTAACATTTTTAGAAAAGTCTTTCCTCCTGACTTGTGTATAATACGGGAAATGCATTTAAAAGAAAGTACTTTCATAGGTATGTCCATATGAATTTCATAGGGAAGAATGGAGGTAATTAGCATTTCTGAAAAACATATACAAATTATGCAGGAAAATGCATACCAAATTATAGTAACGATATACCAGGAAGTCTAATGGGCTAAAAAACAAAATTGGGCAAATTGCAAGAACGCATGAATAGCAGTTACACAAATATCGAGTTTTGCCACAATCAGATTATCATTCCTAAAAAGAAACATGTGGTTTCTGAAGGGTATTTTTCTCTAATTACAATAAAGTTAAATTGTTTATATTTATATTGTATAAACATAGTTTCCAGCATTCAATTTGTTTCTTTATTTTGTTTCTTCTTTTGAAAATAATTTCTTTTGAAGTGTTTGGCTCATGTAGTGCTGAAAATGAACAATATGAAGCACTGGAACAGTGTCTTCTGGGGGGGGGGGAAAGTAGTTTTCTAAGACTGGGCCTCGTTACTAGGTTGCTTTCTGAATCATTAACAAAATTTAAAAAGCAGCTTCTAAAAATTCCAATAGCCAATAATGAAGTTACACCTTTTCTAATTAAATGAATTAGAAGGAAGCCTACCCCAAGGCAGGTTCATAGTATGACTGGAAATAGACCCTTTACAAATTGAATAAAAAGCACAGTACAACAGAAAAACTCTATAAGATTTATTCTGCAAGTAAGTGAAAATTTATTAGACCAGAAGACAGAATATTTGATAAGTCAAATACCTAATTCTTGGTGGGCACAGGGAAGATAGTAACTATAGAGACAAATATTTAAGATGCCCAACAAAGGGAACTGTGAAAATCATAAGTATATCAAATCAGAAAATGTAAGTGGCACATAAACAGTACATGCAGGTGAGATTTTAAAAACTGAAACTAAGTGCCCCTCAGCTGGTGTGGTTCAGTTGGTTGGGTGTCATCTCACAAAGCAAAAAGATCGACGGTTCAATTTCCAGTCAAGGTGCATATCTGGGTTGTGGGTTCGATCCCTGGTCAGGGTATGTATGAGAGGCAACTGACTGATGATTCTCTTGCATCAAGATTTCTCTCCTTCTTTCTCCCTCCCCTTCCCCTCTCTCTAAAAATAAATAAATTAAACCTTTAAAAAAATTGAAACTCAGATTTGGAAATCTTCTTGGAAATGTTCTGCAGGGAGATTTTAAGTGAAATAAAGAAGTTGAACATCTACTTAAAATAATAACCATTGAAATTTTAATAGCTATCCAAAAAATTATCTTCAGAAGGCTCTACACTGAAATATTTATATGTAAAAATGTTAACGAAAGCACAAGCAACCCCAAATTATCAGCGTATTAAAGAATAATGCACCCTATGAGTAGGATTTATGACAAGAATTAAAGGATGACTCACTATTAAGAAACTGTTGCCCTGGCCAGGTGGCTCAAATGGATGGAATGTCATCCCGTTGGAAAACAGGTTGTCGGTTTGATCCCTGGTCAGAGCGCATACCTAGGTTGCCCCAGTTGGGACACAACTGGGAGGCAACCAATTGCTATGTCTCTGTCTCAAATCAATAAACTTATCCTCAGGTGAGGATCTAAATAAATAAGTATTTATTTATTTAAAGTAATTTTAAAAAGAAACATGTTAATACATGGGATCTAGAAAAGTTATTGCACATGTAATCCCAAAAAGATGTTGCAGAAGCATTTGACAAAATATACAATCTATATTCAATTAGAGATTTATCAATAAAAATGGAAGGGGAATTTTCTAACAGGCTACACAATCCTTTCTGAAGAAAAAGTCTGTGTTTTGGTATATAAATGAGGCACTGGAAGTATTTCTATGATAATCAGGTCTAAGGTAAGGAACCCTGAAAGCACCAGTGTTCAACATTCTTCTCTGCATTCTGATTTTTATTTATAGTTTAATTGAAATTTCAATAAGAATCTAAATGAGTTTTTGGGAGGTGGGAGGAGAGATACCTGACAAAGTGATTTTGAAAGTTAATCTGGAAAAATAGGCAGGAAAATTTTGGAAATAATGATTAATGGGCTCTCATGCTACCAGATATTAAATCACCATTCTCATACTATACCAAAAATAAATTCCAGGTGTTTAAAAAATATAGATGTCAAAATGAAACAAAAGAACTAAAGGAAAAGATGTCAATAGTTATGTTGAAATGGGAAAGGGTTTTCTAAGCATAAAAGTAGTGGGGAGATGACAAAGGGAAAGGTTGGTTACAACAAAAATTAAAACTTTCTAGATGTCACAGCAAGAGTATGTACTTTTATATTGTTATAGTAGTTTAATGTGACAAAATACTACAATGGCAAGATGAATCAAAGCTCAAACAGACAATTTGAAAAGGTAGAATTATAAATACTAAGTATAAAAATGTTCAATCTCACTAAATACATATGAATTAAAGCAATGAGATATTTTTAATATTTAGAACTGACATGTTTTTGAAAAAGAAAATGTTATTTTTCAATATGAAATGAATTGGCATTCTCACAAGATGATGGAAGTGTAAATTTTATAATCTTCATGGAAAGCAGTTTGTTCTGTACAACTATACTCTTGTTCTTACTTTTTGAGCTAATAAATGAGCTTATAGGGATTTATCCTAAATAACCTGAGATACAAACATACTTATGCATGAGAAGTCATCCCAGCAATAAGGTTTGAAACAATTTAAAATCCCTAAAATAGAAAACTGTTAAGTAATATTACCATACAATTTGTAGGCTTGACCAATGAAAATTATTTTTGAGTGACTATAAAGATGTGGGATAATGCTAAGTGGAGAAAGCAAGGAAAAATAAACTCTATAGTAGGGTTTCAATGGTGTGTTAAGCAAGAAAAGAAAAGTAGCAGAAGAATTTTTTAAAAAACAAATTCAGAGGGAAGCACAATTATAGTTGCCATCAGAAATCCAGTACTTGCTGTTTTGATTTCTACTACTTCTTCCTTGTGTCTATTTAAAAGCAAAAACTCAAGCACTGAGAAAGAGAACGAAGACTAATTTCAATCAGATTGTGGAAATTAAAACATCATGAGTTAACCCTTGAAATTTTGGCAGGTGGCTACGGAAGGTTATCAGCAGCGCTTTTGTCATTGTTTATGTCTAAACATTATTCCTCCTGTGCCAAGAAAAGAGATGCTTTTAAAATTTCAAATGAAGTATTTCTTTGGAAAAATTATATATTTTATTTTTAATAGACCCAACTTCAGATATTGTATTTTCAGAGTGCCAGGTATCCTTCAAAGCTATAGTTTTCTTGGCACTGATTCAACATCTGTACTGTAGGCGAACTTGCTATTTAAAACTTCGTCTTTTTGTAGTTGATATTTATTATAAAGAGGACATTAAATCTTGCTTTGAAGTAGCATAAAAAATTTGTCTTATGCTTAAGATTAATGCCAATCTCTAAATGAGCACTGTTCATGCTGATTTTATTTTATAAATTGGTCTTTTTTATGGGTATGTGAAACTGTCTGCTTTCTGAAAATTCTCAAGAAAAGGACACTTCGCTTAGCTGAAGAGAAAGGAATGAGCAAGAAGCTATGATCTGTTAATGAGCTGTTCCTGCACAAAAGTTTAGGACATCTGCCTCAACTTTTGTGTTCTTTCCTCCTCAGATTTGTTGTTTTCATCTTAGATTGATCTGATCTTCAACACAAGCATAGAGACTAAACAATTTATAGGCAGTTCATTATCAACGGTCACTAATTCCAGCCTGACTCCTATGTTAGTGTGTTCAGGGGCATGTGCCAGTAGCATTTATGCTGGTAACACAATATCCCTTGAATCTTTTCTGTCAAAATGGATGATCACATCTTCCTAGCAGTGCTGACTCCATTTACAAGGTCTGAATTGGTTAGTACAGCTGACTTGAGTGTTTGATGTCTCTTGCAAATAAAATAAACTTTATGATTTTATCCATATTAACTTTTGGGTTTTCTTTAATGTGCAGCCGTGGTTCTCAACTGGGGACATTTTTGCCGTAGGGAACAGTTGGCAGTGTTTGGAGCCATGTTTTGATGTCTTGACTGGGGATGCAGTAGGGTAAGACCAGGGATGCTGCCCACCATCCTACGGTACACAGGACAGACACTACATAATTCTTTGGAATCCAAAACGTCAGTAGTGCTGAGGTTCAGAAAATCTGGTATAGAGTAAGTGAAATGATTCAAAAGGAAATGATACTTGTTTGAATGTTAACTTTATCAGTCAGGCCACGTGCTAAACTTTATTTCCGTACGTACAGATTTTCTCATAGCCCGTCTGCCCACTTTTTATCTAATTGAGGCAGGTGTGCTAGAATGTCATGGTTTATAGGCTTTATTTTCCTGGATTTCCACTTATTTGTCTTTGTTGTGTGAGGCTGATGTGCAGTTGGTTAGTACAGCTTCACAGAGGACATCCCAAGTGGTTTTACATATGTTGAAAGAGAAGTCTAAAAAATCATGATTTACTCTTGCAGAGTTTTAAGTATTTAATACTTTAAAAAGTGATGTTGTGATTATCAATTGAAAAAAATACACAACCTAT